GTGACCAGCACCATGGTGAACATGAGGTATTTGCCAATGAGTGGCACATCCAGGGAGGTGGGAGGCACAATCTTGGAGATGAGCAACAGGAAGACGGTGAGAGCCAGCAGCACCGAGATGCACAACGTCATCTTCTCTCCACAGTCGGAGGGCAGGTAGAAGACGAGGATGGCCAGCGAGGTGATGAGTACGCAGGGGATGATGAGGTTGATGGTGTAGAAGAGGGGCTTGCGCTTAATGATGAAGTCATAAGTCACGTCCACGTAACTGGGGTCCTGCGGGTTCACCGTCCTCCGCCCTGGGAGGGCCAATATGTCCCACTCGCCACTGGGAGTGAAGTCGTCCATGCTGGCTGTGGGCGACTTGAGGACCATGTCGATCTCCGTGTGATCGTAGGTCCAGGAGCGGAACTTGAGGGTGCAGTTCTGCTGGTCGAAGGGGAAATGCTTCACCTCAATCTTGCAGGCACTCTTGTAGATGGCAGGGGGCAGCCACATGACGCTGCCGTTGGAGCGCACCACCACGTTGGTATAGAGGGACACCTCATAGGTCCCATCGGCACTGTGGGCGAGGGGCAGGGCATGGAGGAGAAAGAACAGTGTGAAACACATGGACACGGCCTGGCCTTCTGGAGTATTTCCCACTAATCACGCCTCTGTCGCCCCATGCCCTCACGTTCTGAAAGGAGCTTGTGTATTTTTCGGAAGGTTCATGGTAGGAAGAGTCCTACCATGAAGCAGTCTGAAGGTCTCGCATGGAATAGTTCATTTAAGCCTCACAATAGTCCAAAGAAGGTTTTATTATTGTGATCCCCATTTTACAGATGGAAAAACCAAGCCTCAGAGACATGGCTTCTCCAAGGCTGTTGTTGTTAAATGCTGTCGAGTCAGTTCCTATTCATAGTAACTCTATATAGGGTTTCCAAGGAACGGTTGGTGAGTTTGAACCACTGACCTAGTGGTTCAAACCGATTTTGCAGTCCAGTGCTTTAGTAAGTGGTACAGCTGGGATTCAAACTCAGGTTTGTTTGTGTCCAGTCCACAAACTCTTTAATCATTTCACATTTCTGTTGGTATCATTGCAACTCATGAAGAATCTCTCTAACTTCTTCCACCTACTAAGATATTTACATGTACCTACTGTAGTAAGTCAGTGCTACCAACACCAATAAAGCAACCAAGGCTCAAAGAGACAATATGGAGGACAGAGAAGGCACTGGGGATCAGGAGGCTGGTCCTGGTCCCAGCTGTGCCTGAATGAGTCAGACAGTACTTTCCCCTCCCTGGGCCCCCATCTGTAGCTGAAAGCACTGCCTCTGCCGTCTCTAATGCTTATTTCCGCTTAATGGCCTGAGTCTGGGAAGTACAGATGGGACCCGAGGCTGGACTCAGGACTGGTGGGCCCCTAGAGGTTGGGTCTGCTGCTCATATGGGGTCACCACGAGGCCCAGCCTCCCCCAGGCCTTTGTAAGAGCTGTGGGACATGTGTGAAGCCCACTCTGAGGCCATTCTAAGATCAAGGGATGCCTTGAGGAGACCAACAAGGGAAGTCTTGCTGGCCAAAGAATCTGGGAAAGAACACACTGACCGCATAGCTTGGGAGCAGGTACAAGAATCTCTATGTACTTGATTTTTGTTGTTGTTGTTGTCAGGTGCCATCGAGTCGGAACCGACTCATAGCGACCCATGCACAGCAGAACGAAACAATGTCCGATCCTGGGCCAACCTCACTACCCCTGCCACACTTGATGCCATCAATGATGCCACCTGGCTGATCTCGCTGCTTCGTTGTGGTTAAGAATCGGGCTGTTTCGCGGAAGATGAAGCGTTCCGCCTGTACAGCCTCAGACTGTACCAGGTGGCTATGAGTCAGAACTGACTCCACAGCACATAACAGCAACAAAATTCCCCAAATCCCTATGGTTGGTTGTAGTTCTCAAACACCTTGTTTTTGAGAATGTGAAAAGGAGTCTTCCTGTGGTGCTGTAGAATAAGCACAAGGTTGGCCGTTTAAACCCATCAGCCACTCCTAGGAAACCCCATACAGGGTCACTATGAGTCAGAACCCATTCAACTGCACTTAGCAACAACCAATGAAATGCATTGGACAAGTCATTAATATCACATGCAAGTAAATTTTTGCAGAAGATACTTTTTACATGTTTGCAGTAGTGCGTTGACAGGGAAGGGCCAGAAATTCAAGCAAGTTCAGAAGAGAACTGGAACTAGGGAAACCATTGCTAACATCAGATGGCTATTGACTAAAAGCAGGAAAATATTTGATTTTTAGCTAAACATAATTGAATGGATATTGTGATCTAAGGGTTATTGTGTTAATCATTAACTTTTGATGCATATGCTGCCCGGATAGGCTTCCTGCCGAAAAGTCTACTTAAAGCTGTATTGTAGATAATAAGGTCACTCTTGATTGACCATCTTGAGTCCCCTGCCACTTTCATTCTCCTTCCGCCCCCGAGACCCGTTTGTGCAGGGCTGGTTCCTGCGGGTCTTGACCTAACTCCACCACTCACTTGTTATATAGCACGATGTCGGGCAGCCAGAGGCGCTTTGCAGGGATCCTCAGGATGTTGACGCCTTCATAGTGGGAGCTGTCCCAGGCCAGGCGGTAATCGGTCCATTCCTGAGCAGACAGGCAAGGCCTGATCACTTGTAGGTCACTCACCACCATAGGGCAGCCCTGGAGGAAAAGTCCCCTGGGCTGGATACCCTGCAGTACACTTACCTGTCTCAGCCAGACGTTGGTGGTCATGATCTGTTCTCGCTCATTCTGGGGAGAGAAATGGGGCTATCAGTGCACTGGGAAGGAGAAGCCTTCACACGTGCACCTTACTTTACCACACTCTGAGCTCCAGATGACCCACTGCCAAGCTAACATTTCTTGAATGGCTCAAAAGTATTTAGCAGCCAGTACATTCAACACAAAGCTGATGGCCTTTCTCTAAGCCTGATCTCCTTCAGCATCCTTATCTCAGTGAATGGCACCCCCCACCCATCCAGTTTTATGAGCCAGAAACCTAGGCGTTATACGTGATATCTTATCTCTGATCCATCCATCCATGCTACAGATTCCATCTCCTATGTGTGCCTCAAATTTGTCTGCCTCTCTCCATCTCCATAACTGTTGCAGACCGTGTAAGACTGGTCAGAGGTTCGAGGCCCTATAGGCCCGAGTGTAACAGATCTAGCCACTTGGCAGTCAATAGCAAATTGTTTTTCATCTTAATATTCAGTTACATGTATTAATTTAATACA